CTACTACTACCTACTACTACCTACTACTACCTACTACTACCTACTACTACCTACTACTACCTACTACTACCTACTACTACCTACTACTACTACTACTACGACTACTACTACGACTACTACTACTACTACCTAGGTTCGAATACTTTCGATGAGTGGGAGCAAGTAGATCTCGAGATGCAGAATACACATCAGGAAAAGATCTATATATGTGGCAGTGGCACAGCAATGAGAGCATGTAATGAAAGGCTTTGTCAGAAAGTTCCCCTGTAGACCGAACCAACCTGAACTACCCACCAAATCTCTGAAGCACCTGCCTTTAAAGCTTCTTGTTTTTTGTCTCTGGCAAGGCAAACCTGGCCAACTTGGCAAGGAAATCATATGCAACGCCATTTCCATCAGTTTGTTGCCTGCGCTCGCGTAGACAGTGCTGCCGCCTTTGCATTGCCTTGAGCCTCAAGTTAGCCATGAGCCATGGTGGCAGAAATGTCTGAGAAAGGGTGATGCGACAAGCGTTGCTTCAAAACACTGCACACAAGACAAACCAGCACGAATGATTCGAATGCACATGTTGTTCAATGAGATCTATGTCATCTTCAAACCAAGTGCTGATCACTGGGCTTTGCGTGATGCATCTCAACATCGAAAAGGCAGGTAGGCAGGCATCAATAAATGTCGGAACATGTTGGAACAAAGCTCTAGTCTAGCAGAGTCTAGTCTCTAGACCAGAGCGACTGGGGAGCACACAACGGAAACAGCAGCATCTGCCGCAGCAGCAGCTTCCTCTAGGCTAAATGTAGCCAAGTAAGCCTCCAATGAGAAACAAGGAAACTTTAGGAAAGTGACAAATGTCGTTTGCATTAAGCCTTGGCCGCGTTTCGCTGAGACATGGCTTGTGCAGGCTGATCTGCCTCAGCCATTCTGGAATCACTGAATCTGCGAAGCCTTTCTTACTCCATATGACTCCTTGGGTTGCTGGCCCCTTTCGCTGCTTCAACAGCCTGCTGAGCTGCCTGCAAAAGAATAAACAAGATACTGTCTCTTTCCAGTCAGCAAACATTGGCGTTTGTTCTTTCTAAATGGCTTGGGCCATTCATTCCATCCCAACCTCCACAGCTTTGAGCAGCTCCCGTCCAAGGAGCTGCGCTCGCGCCACGGCACCGAGTGCGAAGGCTTTCGCCCGTGCATCACGGGCATCCTCAAGAGCCTGACAACACAAGGCCTTTCAACAAGCACTTCTCTTGCTACTAGGAGCAAGAAGCTATTAGGAACAAGTGCATCGCTACTAGTAACAAGTGCCTTACTAGTAGTAACAAGAAGCTACTAGGGGCTCCTGGCCGTACTACTAGGAGCAAGGACGCTACCGTCCTCCTCACTTCTTTACACCTTGTCTATGGTCTAACCAGATGCATGGCCACAGCATGCTTTTCTCCACTTTCGGATCATTCAACTACATCTGCAGGTCCAGTCATAGTGCCAAGAGAGCACAGAAGAAGCGCAGCCAAAAGAAGTTCTTCAGATGAATAGCAGAAGTGCAGAGATAGAATAAAGGGTTGTGGCGGTGGGAATCTAGAAATTTGAAGGGTCTATCACTTGTGGTCGTCTGGTTCTGCAGAAAGCGCACAAAAAGGAAGAGGAGGAAGAGCAGAAGATTGAAGAATCCTATGGAAAAATATATAGCTTTATGCGTTTTGCTTTTTAGTATTTTTTGCCCGCCCTTACATGATTTAGTAGGCGCCTAATTAAGTCAAGGAGTAAGCTCCTAGCTGCTAGCTACTTAAGTTACTACATTAGGGACGCAGGATAGCTCAAGCTTGCAGCACACTTAACAAACTCTCGATTGGTCGGTTGGGTGAGGGAAATGCTCCTTGTTGGCGATCTGTAGGGCTTGATCCATTTCCTCCAGGAAATGGACATCACCAGCAATTTGCACCACTGTGATGTTGCTTTGCGATTGCACTTGTCCAACCTCGCGGACAAGACACCGCGAGAAGTCTGGAGCCCAGCTTGCAACTTTGAGGCTCTCATCCTGCCACGTTAAGCATACATCGAGCACATACCTCTGCAAGTCGCTTGAAAAGGTCAAGACCTTTTTCGCTGAGGACCTTGCAAAGTCTGGCATCATCATGGCCATGGTGCCGAATGTATCTAGATCCTACATGAACGGAAACTATGTTGGCTTGCCCTTCTTACTACAAAGGCTGATGGCAGCAGAGACGATCATGGACTCCTGCGCACTCCTGGACGGGCTGAGAGCTTCCAACCTAGTAGCTTCTTGCTCCTAGTACCGATGCCAGGAGCCCCTAGTAGCGTCCTTGCTCCTAGTAAGGCCTGGAGCCCCTAGTAGCTTTTTGCCCGAATATTGTTTAAAGCCCGAGTTGCCCTCGCCCTTACTTAATTCAGTAGGCGCGTAAGGCTGGTAGGAGGGCGCCCTTAATAGCGAAAACGGGCAAATCCTTAATCGCAAAATTGTGGTGTTTAATTGCGAAACTTGTTAATTGTGCCGTTCAACGTACAAAAAAACTTTAGGAAAAACGGCCTAATGTCTGCAACCAAGGAAGCCGCAATATTTTCCTTTCAGCTGCCCTCCAATTGTCTTAAGGATGTGAAGCGGCAAAGACCCCTCCAAATTTGCATTTAGGCTGCGCGAAAACATTTTGATGAAGTGGTAAAGCCCCCTCCAATTGCTTGTCTTTTCGCTGCCCGAAATCACTTTGAGGGAGGTCTTGCAACTCACTAGGCTGTTCCTAGTTTTTTGGACCTGATCCAAGTTCAATTGCAATTTCCCACCCACTGCGACGTGTTGGCAGAGACCCAGCTCTGCCATGTTGAGCCAGGTTGACTCAGCCATGCGGTGGCAACCAGCGTGTCATTTCGCAATTACAAGATTCATGTTCGCAATTAAAATCTGGATTTTGCCATTAAAACATGCCTTTCGCTATTAAGAGGTACCCTGGGCTGGTTGATTTTAAGTAGGACGCTACTAGCTACTGGATGCAGGATAGCTCACGCTATTCATTTGGTTCCTGGCTTCATTTCGACAATGTCTGCAGTCACTGGAGTTGCAGCTCCGAAGCATGTAACCTAGTCGCTTCTTGTTACTACTAGTAAGGCACTTGTTACTAGAAGCGATGCACTTGTTCCTAGTAGCTTCTTGTTACTACTAGTAAACATGAAGCTATTTGTAACACTTACTACTAGCGTGGCACTTGTTACTACTAGCGTGGCACTTGTAACCCTCTTGGCAAGACCTGAGGCATCTTTTCTCAGCGAGCTCATTTGGCAGCGCAGGAAAAGCTTCTCAGCACAGAATTAGACCTGACATGCTTTGCTGGTCTGCTTCTCCCTCAAGCCCAATATTTCCAAATGAGTGCACACTACCCACTTGTTGCTAGGAGACGATTCAACTAAAGTAGCAAAGTTGAACTCTTGCAATCTTTGTGGAAATAGCTCCAGTTTGTACTACTTAGTGAGCTGTCGCACAACTGAGCCCTTTGCGTCTGAGTTGTCACTTTGAACAAGCGGCCTTGCCAAAACAGAAAAGGGCTGCTCTGAGTAAGCACATGACAAAGCAATTGTCGTGAGTCATGACAAGCAAGTGAAGCATTTACTCTTGCCTTGCGCTTTCATCGTGAGTAGCTGAAGTTGAGCAGCAGGATTCCTGGAGCGAGTTGGATCCTCCTGCAGCGGTTCCTTTCAAAAAAAAGTAAATATTCCTTGTTATATAGGTTCCTTCTTCGCTTTCAATTCCTTTCTACTAAGTGTGGATCTCAACCGTACACAGTCTGAGTCTGGAATGCCAAGCACCCCGTACGATATCCTGCAAGAACGCCTAAACTGCAGCCCAAAAGTTCACTCCTGATGGCTTGGACTCAAAGTCAGGCTCATTAGCACTACCAGGGGCCACATGCCTGGAAGTTGCGAGCAAAGAGTGGAGACCAATATGGCTTACAGTGATTTGACATTCTTGGAGATGACACCAGTGACACTATGATCTCGCTTGCCACAGTTGTTTTGCCACATCCACATGCCTGTACTTCGGGTCGCACGACATTGCGAAGTACACACGGGACCACACCTGACAACGAAGGTGCCATGCTGCTTCTAAAACGGCCGTATCTTGTGCAAGCTGAAGCATCTGGAGCCTAAGACTCACACCATGGTGGCTGGCCAAACTACGCAGCACGCTAAGAAGAGAATCCCTCGCAGCAGAATCTCAAGCACACTCCGAGCTCGCCAGGTTGCAGCAGTTGCAAGGACTGGATCGAGCAAAAGCCTCCGGTGAAGTGCACTTGAACTGTTTAAAGGGAAACATAAGAAGGCAAGGACCTCTTTAATAGGGCCCCTTTAACGAAATCTCTTTGAAATTGCCCTGGCCCTTACATTCTTATTCCCGTTGTTGTTCCTTATTCTTCTCATATCAAGCATTTCCCAAAGAATTAAAACCGCTTCCTAGGCACCGTTTTGACCAGTGTAAGGGTGTTTCAAGGAAGGACAAGTTTCCTAGGTAGCTTCCTTGCCTCTCCCTACCTCCCTCCCTAAATAGACAGAGAAAAAACATGAGTTCTTTAAAGGAACGAACATATACAATTTACAATTAAGTAATATGCTTCTTGTAGCTTCTTGTTACTACTAGTAAGGCACTTGTTACTAGAAGCGATGCACTTGTTCCTAGTAGCTTCTTGTTACTACTAGTAAGGCACTTGTTCTTTAATGGATTTATTTACAATTTACAAGAAATATGTCTGAACGCAGCCACTTCATGCACGCCCCTTACTACCTACTACCCTCGGGAGTGTTCGCCCAAAGCATAATGCCAACGAAAACAAACTCTTTGCTTTTGTCGTTGCAAACTCTTTCTAAGTGTCCAACAAGTGTCCTTGCTGTGTCCTTTCTGATCGTTCCTTAGACCTTAGTCCTTTCTGTCCTCCTTGTTTCGCAAAACAAAAGCGCTCAGCGCCTCTGAATTTCACCTGAAAAGTTCAGCTGTCGGAAGTGCTCTCCCATCTTAGAGAGGCAAGGCTCGACAGCTGCTTTGGTGCCTGCCACTCAAATTGGGACAAATCAATCATCAAATCCCACATCAGTTCACAAGAACAACAAATATGGGAGCTTGATGCTCCGTGTCATTCCTTTGCTTGTCTCTCTCTCTGCCCTGTGTGTTCGTCAAGTCCTTTGCTCCGGTTGAAGGCCATGATCTGCCTCCAGCAACTATCCTTGAGAGATGCTCGCGAGCCCTCTGGCTGTTGTCAAAGTCAACAAGATAAGAATTCTCCTCGTCCTGGTCAATGTGTCTCAATGGAGGCACGCCCCTTTAGACATGTTGTCTTATGCTTTAGTCTGACAAAGTAAAACACTTGTACCGATGTTTCTTTCTCTAATGTTCTCTTTGTTCTCTTCTGTGTTTTACTCTTCGCTGCTTGCAGCACTTCGTCCTTGACAAATTCCAAGTGCCCTCCAACAGGCTGAATTGCAACGGGCGTTCCAGAGCTCCAGGCCTAGAATCGCACAGAGGGCAAATCGCAGGAAGAGAAGACATGGAATATGGGAATGAATGAATGGGTGAAGAAAATGGTGAAATGAAGTAAAAGGATACGTCAATGGACATAGAAGGACAAATGCAACGAAGTGAAGGCGAAGTAATATCTGTGAAAATGGAATGCCATTGAGATCCACAAAGCATACAAAAGGCACATCAAAGCACATGAGAACATTGGACAAAAGAAATAGAAACAACTAAGTGTGAATTTAAAATAGTTTAAGTACCAAGGAGGGTAGACCAGTCGGTTAGAGTTTAAGTCTGGTAGAATAGGTAAGCTACTAGTAAGTAGCGCCACTAGGCTTGGACGCAGAATGGCTCAGACTTCTTCACGGAAGGTGGGCCCGGGGGACTTCCTCCGCGGATGAGTTTGTAGTAGCGAACATTGCTAGTAGCATCCTTGCTCCTAGTAGCGATGCCAGGAGCCCGTAGTAGCGAACATTGTTCCTAGTAGCGATGCCAGGAGCCCCTAGTAGCGTCCTTGCTCCTAGTAGCGATGCCAGGAGCCCGTAGTAGCGAACATTGCTCCTAGTAGCGATGCCAGGAGCCCCTAGTAGCGTCCTTGCACCTAGTAGCGATGCCAGGAGCCCGAGTAGCGAACATTGCTCCCAGTAGCGATGCGAGGAGCCCCTAGTAGCGTCCTTGCTCCTAGTAGCGATGCCAGGAGCCCGTAGTAGCGTCCTTGCTCCTAGTAGTAAGGCCAGGAGCCCCTAGTAGCGTCCTTGTTCCTAGTAGCGATGTCAGGAGCCCCAAGTAGCGTCCTTGCTCCTAGAAGTAAGG